CCGCTATGACTGTCTGCGCATTGCAATTGACGATGGTGAAGACTTCCGCCATTTCACGAACCGAGTGAGAGCGGCTCGACGACGATATAACTTTCGTGCTCAGACAGAAGAACAGTTCTTTTGTCTCGTCGTTCTCACTGGACTTAAGTCGAAAGCCCATGAGTCATTACGCGCCCGAATTCTCCAGAAGCTTAACTCGGATGGAGAAAACGTTACATTCGACGACGTGATGAACGACTGCGAAGAGTTCATAGCGATGCGTTCCGAAAATAAGTTATACGAAGAAACAGAACGTCTGGTTAATAACGTCCGCGCCAAGACCCCGCCTAAAGAAGAAAAGACCAAGAAGGCAAATCGTCCACCGAGTACGTGCAAGCGATGTGGTGAGTGGCATTGGTACAAAGACTGTTCATATGTAAGACACAAATGCCAAAAGTGCAATCGTGTAGGACATTTAGAGAAATTATGTCGACGACCACAGAAGAAAAAGCAAGTGTGCTCCGCCAGGGTAGGAATTATCAAAAATTTTGTAAACGCCTGCAGACTGCTAAAAATGAAGATTGAGGTTAATGGACACCCAGTCGACTTCTATCTCGATAGTGGATCTGAAATTAACATTATTGACGAAACGACATACGATGCCATCGGACGACCCACACTCCAGCCTTGTACGGAACGAGCCAGATCTTACGACGGAAGTACTCTCTTGCCACCATTCCTAGGGAAGGGATGCACCACCTTCTGTCACCATGACATCTGCAAAGAAGAACCATTCTATGTGGCCAAGAAAGGAGCTCTCAACCTCCTCGGAATCGACGCTATGCACCACTTTCATTTCTTTGCTGCTAAGGTTTATGAGGTTAACACCTGTCAGAAGCCAAACAATTGGCTTCGAGTCATCGAATCGTTGCAGCACAACTTTCCAGAAGTTTTCGAGGAAGGACTGGGACTCTGCAAGGTAACGAAAGCTTCGTTAATGTTGAAGCCAGACGTCACACCTGTCAAACGCAAGGCCAGATCAGTTCCCTACGCCTCACGACCAAAAGTGGAAGAGGAACTCGATCGCCTGCTGAACTTAGGAGTCATCAAACCCGTCGACTATGTAGAATGGGCTGCTCCTATCATAGTAATTACAAAACCTAACGGATCGTCACGTCTGTGTGTAGACTACTCAATGGGTCTCAACGATGCTCTCCAGCTCAATCAGCACCCATTACCACTTCCGGAAGACATCTTTTCCACACTCAACGGTGGTCGAATATTTTCAAAAATAGACTTTTCTGACGCCTATTTGCAAGTGGAACTCGAGGAAACTTCCAAGAAATTCTGCAACATCGCGACACACCGCGGGTTCTACGAATTCCAACGTCTTCCATTCGGAGTGAAATCGGCTCCAGGCATCTTCCAATCGATCATGGACTCCATGATCTCGGGACTATCGTTCGCCTTTGCATACCTAGATGACATAGTCATCGTCAGTGGCAACGTCGACGATCATCACCGACATCTTCATGAGGTGTTTCATCGCATTCACAACTATGGGTTCCGAATCCGACCAGAGAAGTGCGCATTCTTCCAGGATTCCATTAAATACTTAGGCTACATCGTCGATAAGGACGGACGCCGCCCGAACCCTTCCAAGGTCGACGCAATCATCAATATGCCGCCACCGACAGACCTATCCACACTTCGCTCATTTCTTGGTATGGTGAATTACTACCAAACCTTTGTCCACAACATGCGTCAAATTCGCCAACCATTAGACGAATTACTCCAGAAAGACCGAAAGTGGCAGTGGTCGAACAAATGTCAACAGGCTTTCCAGCGCATCAAGGACATACTCAAGTCGGATTTACTCCTCACCCACTATGATCCGACGCTCGAGATCATTGTCGCAGCCAATGCGTCAAGTCTAGGGCTTGGTGCCGTCATCCAACACCGTCTGCCCGACGGTTCAATTAAGGCTATCGCTCACTCGTCTCGCGCGCTCACTCCAGCCGAGAAGAACTATAGCCAGATCGAAAAAGAAGGTCTTGCACTCATCTTCGCTGTGCACAAGTTCCACAAGATGATTTACGGACGACCTTTCACGCTTCTGACGGATCATAAACCGCTCCTTGCCATCTTCGGCAACAAGAAAGGTATTCCGACACATACAGCCAACCGTTTGCAACGCTGGGCAACGACTCTTCTTGGTTACAACTTCAAGATCGAATACCGGAAAACTACCGAATTCGGACAAGCCGATGCTTTGTCACGCCTCATCTCCGCCCAACCATTACGGGATGAAGAAACGGTCGTAGCAACCATCCAAGCTGACTTGGACCTTACAGCCTTGTCGTCTCAACTACCTGTAACCTTCGACAAACTGTGCGAGCAAACAAAGAAGGATCAGCTCCTTCAAACGATCAGGCAGTACATCACTTCCAAGTGGCCAAACGTCGACAAGCTTCGGGAGTCCCCCGACTGGACTCAAATCCAACAGTTGTATCGTTGACGCGACGGACTCAGCGTCGAAAAGGGATGTCTCGTCTATAACGAACGCATCATCATCCCCACACTACTCCAACGTAGGGTACTCAAACTCCTACATCGTGGACACCCCGGTATCCGATGTATGAAATCTCTAGCCTGCAACTATGTCTATTGGCCGAATATAGACCGCGACATCGAGTCAACCGTGCGACAGTGCTCTCCATGCATCTCAGCTGCAAAACAACCGGTAACTTCCGAACTATTCTCCTGGCCGAAACCNATCCCTTATCGAAAAAACTATTACGCGGCATAAACCGCCAATTCGGACACTTGTTTTTTCTCTTTCTTAAAAGGGGAGGTGTTGGGTCAGGTGTTTACCACGTGTTGGATCAGGTGTTTACCACATGTGAACACCTAACGACCGGGGTTCAATCTGGAACCCATAAAGTGACATTTACGTGTGAGTGCGACATTCGGGGTTGTTGTCTTTTTGCTCGGGTCAGCCAGATGAGTAGGACGTGACCGGTGTTCTGTCCGACCGTTATAACCGTTTCTTTGCTACATAAAGATACGACGTTATACTACTAGAGTGCATTCTCCCTTAACAGGGGCTAAGAACCCAACAGAAATTAAAAACATTAGTTATAAGCATTTAATCTAAATTTACAAACAAATTTATAGTCATATCATCAGAATTTTAAATTAATTTAATACTTTAATTTGTTCTGCTTATACAGAGTTAATAACAAAAAATAAATCGTCAGAGTCAAATCTTCGTTCGGATTTTGGTATAGAACGTTAGCAGAGTCGTCAAACTGTGGTCTACGGGCCGTTCGAAGTCACAAAAGAGGTGATCATGTGTTAATAATAAGGCATCACGTGATAGAGCAAAGAAATTATTTTTCTCACGGAAGAATCACGTTACATGGATTGCGTACATCTCCATGACGACTCGAATGGGGTATGATCAGTAAGTAGTCCTATGATTTTTTGTTTACAGTATAGCAGTTTATATGCAGTTGTTTGGAAAAATGTTATTAAATATATCTCCTTTTTAAAATAGATATTGAGAAAATGAATAACATATTCTCTACATCTGTATAATCAAAATGACTAAGCTTGTCTACATGTAACGTTGCATTAACACAAGTTATTGTTAATTTATTGAGTTCACATAAAAATACATAATACATCTAATTCTCATAGAACAATGTCCTTAATCACCACAAAATTTTGACCTTTATTTTTAATTAACTCTAAAATGCAATGCATTTCACATTAAATATACTAATCACTTCATTACTTAAATAGTGCATTTGTTCTAATTATTCTCACTTAAACAGGATGTTCTGGTTGATTTGTAACATAAGAATCGGAGAAACTTCTAAGAACCAATTAGTCTGTCCAAACATGAAGGAATGTCTTTGTTTTCATCATTCAACTGGTGGGTGAGAAAGTTACATGGTAAGTTCTTTTTTAATTTTATTACATTAACACACAGCATTATTTGGAAAAAATGCTCAATTTAATTATTGATGCAGAGGAAGTACAGTCATTCCCAGTGTCTCAAATTTTCATGCACGGAAGAAACGATAAAACTAAGTGATAATTGGAAATATTGATGTTAAGAGATAGCTGATTTTTCACATAATATGGGGCCACTAACAAGAGAAAGAAACTTTGTGTACTCTGTGGCACAGATTTTCCAAATATACTATTTGAAGAAAAAGCATTTCAACTGGAAAAAATCTAATTCAACCAGTAATTGACTAAGCATTTATGTGGAAAAGCAAGTATGCCTCTTAATTCCCTCTATTGTTACCTGTTTTTTGGATGCAAAACACATGCCAGAAATCACCGTTGCCGAACGGAAGAATGTAAAAGTGTATGAGCTACAGCATACTGTATCAAATAAAAAATCCATCTGTGCCTTGTGCTTTGAAGCAATTTTTTATTTGCCCATCATGTCTATTTGACTTGTACATAAACAGAAAAGTTTAGATATCTCTAATTGTCAAAAAATGCATTGTGTCATATATGACACAATGCATTTTTTAATCAGTTCTAAAGGTCCAAAACATAACAAAAAATAGTATTTTTTCAGTAGAGGATCAAGAGATTGGGTGATTATCTGAATGCAGGACCAACTTGTATAACCTGGCTTGGTAGAAATCATGTCCCTGTCCATTGAGCCGGTTCTCGGCAGCTGTTTTCACATCACTGTCTAAAGAGAACCTTGTTCCAGGTAATTCCAGATAAGTGTCCTTCATTTTCAGAAAAAGAAATAGTCACTGTGTGCCAAATCTGGGTTGTATGGGGGTGACTGTTGAGTTTTGCAAGCAATGCCAAGCAGGCCATTGTCATGCGGGAGGATGACACGATCATTCAACATGCCAGGGCATTTGCGTCAGACGGCTTCATGTAACCTTGTCAAAATGGCGCAGTAACTTAGGTCGCGTTTCTTTATGCAGCGCTCGAGAAGTGCTTTACAGCAAACACACTGAAACTGGTTTCTAATTGGCCAACACTGTTTGTGACGTCATTTTGCTACACTCTCGCTGCATAAAATGTGGGGACTCCAGATACTCGATCAGGATAATATCACACGAATCCCAGAATGTGGTTGCCATAACTTTACACCCTCTGCCAGTAATCTTAAACTTCTTTCTCATTGGTGATCCAATGCATTTCCACTCCATAGTGGCTCTTTTGGTTGTGAGGACAAAATGAAGAAGCCTTATTTTGTCCCCAGTAGCGATGTGATCCATGAAGTACTGGCTGTCAGAATGGTAACATTGAAGAAATGCAAGACTGCACATCATTCGTGTGGCTTTCTGCTCCTCGGATAACACATGTGGTATCCAGTGGGCACAAGCCTTGGAATATCACAACACATCAGAAACGATACACAGTACCATTGCTCAGTCCCAGCTCTGACAAGTTTGCATGCACAGTTACCCGTCGAACATGTTGATTTCTATTGTTGAAGAACTTGGATGGCTGCTCGCTGTCCAATTGAAAAGAGCGACACCACTTTGCTGCATGTTGTCTGCTCATTGTTGCTTCACCATAAACTTCCACGATTTGACTGAATTTCAGATGCAGACACATTATTTGTCCATAAGAAATGAATCACAGCTTGCACCTCCAAGCAAGACCACTTTTCTAAATGTCTTGCCATTTCAATCACTTTGATGCGTCTGTGAACCTGCACAACTGCTGTAAGACAACTAGCACAATCTGTCTCCACTCTGGGGAAAAAATATTCCCTCCACATTAATTACTATTCAAATGCTGCTTGTGTTTGGATCTACCTATGTATTTCTCAGGGATGTAAGTTAAGAGTATTTTTTTTGTTCCTTTTTTTCTTATTGTCTGTACTATCTGAATGTAATAGCCATTTTGACTTTTTTTGAATTTCAAATACTGAAGTGTTTTTCTTCCTCTTAGTTTATTGCTTTCCTATCCGAAAATTTTTTCATTTCATCAGCAGTAAAGTTCAAAAGTTTTCCCAGGCAAATCAGTGGTATTTGATTTGTGCATGAAGCAATGACATCAAAGAGAATCCTCAGGATTACTGTCATTAATTGGGAATCAGTAGAGAGAGACAACAGATGATATACATAGTAATTGTTAAAGTATCTTTGTTTAATCGAGGAATTAATGCACAAATAAGTCTCTACATAACTGTGGGACAAACGTCTGTACGTATCAACAGATCAAGATGGCAATAGGTCCCCCTGGCAGTCCAAATTGATTAGCGTCAACAATACCGACACCCCCCTCAATTCGACATTAAGGGGGACTTTCTATGCGTCTGATACCCATGTTGGTGACACACAACCGATGCTTGTTCAAAAACAATGGTTTTGTTATGGCATTGGCTGGCATCTGGTCAGTAGATATTTTGATGTCTACGTCTTTGCGTTCGAGAGCCTCCTGGATGAAATAATATCATATCCCGACATGTTTTGTGCAAGAGTGAAAGATTGGGTTTCTGGTAAGTTTCTTTGTAATCTATACTGCCTTTTTCTGTGTAGCCTTTGGCAACTAATCATGCTTTGCATCGCTCCAGTGTTTTGTCGGGATTGAATTTGTTTCGTAGGACAAGTCTGCAGCCAATCAGTATGTCAATGATATCCCAAGAATTGTTTGAGTAATGAGCTGCTTTCCATTTGTCAGCTTCAGGGCTATGTATTGCTTGGTTTAGCAGAACTTCAGCAAAGTGATGAGTGATGCTGACTTGCTCATTGTTTATTTCGTCATTGCCATCTTGAATCATGTGATATTGTTTCGTGGGTCTACCGTGATTTCTAGTTTTTAATTTGAGTGGCCATCCTGGTCCTCTTCTCATAGATGATTGTTCTTCCCATATTTCAGGAACTTCAGGAACAATGTTTGCATGTGGATGTGGGACCTGAGTTTGCTGGGTAGTTACCTCTATTGAGTGAGTTGTTTTTTTAGAGTTGAATCGTTGATGAAGTTATCAAAAAGATCAGTATTTGAAATTTTTTCTATGAACTTGACATCTAAAGAGGTGGTCATGCTCTTATGACCATTGTCTGGAATGTATATGAATTTTCTCAAACTACAAAAATTAGAAATGTTTTTAGCTATTCATATTATAAAATGTTTTCCTGCAATGCCTATCTCACACGTGTCAAGCAGATCTTTCTTGTCAAATCTGAGGCCAGTGACCCCTTCTTGATCCAACAATTTTCTTAATGTGGTAGCGTGGAGATGACCAAATCTTTTGTGCCAGATTCATAATCCATCAATTGGAGATTTTTCTTCAAAAATGCGAATTCAGTCACTTCTAGCAATTGGCCACTGTGGCTGTTGTTAATGACTCATACTTTGATGAGAGATTTGTGCGAAGCGATGGCACATGGAGAGTGTTTAATAGGTCAAACGATCGTTTGCATGTGCCAGTACCAACTGCATTGATGGGTAAGTTTGATCACTAGCAAGGTCCAATTTTGTGTTAGAGGTAGTTTGTAAGTCAAAATTTTTCTTAGTTGGAACACATTTGATGTGGAGACACCAAGCATCACATGGCATTCCAGTATGAAAAATAGACTCACATGTGAAAAACATTCCCCTGTCCTGTTTGCTGGATCTCGGTTTATTTTCTTCCCTCTTCTTTTTATGACAGTCTTGTTCTCTGTTGCAAAAATTACATCACAGTTTCAATCCTTGATAACAGACAGTAAGCACATCATTGTTTTGCGATTTGCGGGAAGATCGTCCTTCATATTCCTCAAAGATCTTGACTTTTAGGATGTCTAGCTTTGGAAGATAGTCTCTCATTTTGATTGCAGTGCAAAAAGTGTTGAAACTGTTAGGCAAGCTGTATAACAACACAGAGAGAAGTTCCTCATTCACTATAATTTCTAAATCAGTGAGCTTGTCTGCAGTGTCCAGGAATTTGGCGATGTGGTTGTGCAGATCTCTTATGTACCTTCATGAGAATTAAGGTCTTTATTAAGGAGGCCTTTTTTGCTGGTTCCTGAGACTGAAAGAAATTTGGGAAAAACTTAAATCCATTTACTAATGTGTGGCAATTTTGTATATGTTTTAGCTTGGGCAGACTTAGCATTAATATCAGGCTTGATCTTACCTTATGGTCATTTTTTGTCCAGGCGCTGTGTTCTAATCAAGATTCGAGATTACTGGCGATAATGGTGGGACAAGGTATCGCTCCGTTAGCGTATTCCCACATTCCATCCCTTTAGAGTACGGCTTTGGCTTGAAAACCCCACGTATCATAATTTTCTCAATTTAATAGCTTGACTTTAAATGAATTCATCATTTGCAGATGTGCAAATTGATAGACGAAATAATAAAGGAAAAAGATACGAAACAAGATGTGGTTGTTCGGTTTGGTTTCGCTGTGGAGATGCTGTCATTAATTGGGAATCAGCAGACACACAACAGATGATACATACAGTAATTGTTAAAGTATCTTCATTTAATCAAGGAATTAATGCACAAATAAGTCTGTACATAACTGTGGGACGAACATCTGTACGTATCAACAGATCAAGATGGTGAACAGTCATCGAAGCTTTTTGACGCGTTCAGATATGTCCCCCTAGCAGTCCAAATTGGTTAGTGTCGAGAGTACAGACTCCTGCAGTTCAGAAAGTACTCTTCCAGGGTTCTTTCTGAAATGCAGGAGCTGGTAGCAAAGTTATTTGTTTGGCACCATGGAGGAGTATATTACTGCACTGACGTGAAGAAATCTCTCTCTATTTCCATAGCTGAAGAATCATTTTTATCGTCGTCAAATTTGTCATTTAATGACTTACATTCTCCAGGACAATGGTTGAAGAACAAATTTTTGGTCACTGTCTTCATCACTGGACTGGCCTTGCAGTTCAGACAAATTTCTATCAATATCATGTGATCTATCATGTTCCTTCCTTAGTTCGTCTGTTGACACTGAAAAATTATCCAAAAATTGAGGTCATGGGACCTATTGGTAGAAACAGCCTCCCCTCAACAAGCAACAAAGCTTTTGGCAATGAAGACTCTTGGAGATATGGGAGTTTCAGTCACACCACACCACACAGAAGTTTAAACTCATCACGTGGTGTGATATCTGAAGATGATTCAGATATTCAGATCAAGGTGTTGCTGCTGTCCAACGCATCTCCATTCATCGCATCACCAACTAAACATCTAATTCTCGTGTTTGAGAAGCTGACATTGCCATCCTTAATTACAGGATACCTGTGCTGCCCAGTTTGTCCATATATTCCAAATCTGCTGCATTGCTTTAAATGCCAGCAGTTTGGACATTCCCAGACCTCCTGCTGAGGCAAAAGCTTATGTGCATAGTGTGGAACTGAAGGTCACGACAGTACCAAATGTAAAAGTACCCCATGCTGTGTGAACTGCAAAGATGCCCATCCTGCCTACTCCCGGAAATGCCCTACATGGCAAAGAGAAAGAGATTCAACGGGTAAAAACTGTGATCATCATCCCATATCCAGAGGCTCGTCGCATGGTCACTCCAAGTGCACCATGGAACCAAAGACATTTGCTGCTGTGTTGAAATCTACAAAGACATGTGGGGTTCAAACAGATATTTCTGTATCACCAAGTGAATCTCTTACCCACCATGCAAAATGTTTACTGATCCCACCTACATAATCAGAAGAAAAGGAGAATACGAAGAGCAAAACTAACTAAAACAGGGGTAACAACCAGAAATGTGAGTTCTAAAAAGGCTAATAAGAACCAACTCAACAAACAAAAATTGAAAGCAGCCCTCTCTAAAATCAGAAGCTCAATCTATGACTGAATTTTCTGATATCTCTGACGAAGAGACTAAAATGGAGGTTATAAAATCAATGTCACCTCCAAAAGAAACACCCCCTGTGAGATTAAAGAGGGGTACATTCTCAAAGAATGCTGCCTCAAACACAATGGATTATAAAATAATCCAATGGAACTGTCGTGGTTTCTGCAACAACTTTTCTGACATTTAAACACTTGACATCATCTACCTCATCTCTGTGTTGCACTCCAGGAAACCCATCTAAAACCTGGAGAAAGAATTTCTTTACAAGGATATGACCTCTACTGCAAGGATGATCAACCGTGCCAGTGGAGGTGTGGCTATACTAGTCTCAAATTGTGTTCCATCTTTACCGGTACAAATAACCACTGATTTGCAAGCTTTGGCAGTCAGAATATCTATTGGCGTAACTGTCATACTTTGTTCTATATACTTGCCACCAGATGTCAGACTCAATGAGGATGAATTAGATACTGTACCTTGGTTGAACAGCTGCCAACCCCCTTTATTCTACTCGGTGATTTCAACGATCACAATCCAATGTGGGGCAGTCTCAACATCAATTTGAGGCAGAGCCATTGAACGACTCATAGGCAATCAGCAACTATATTTATTTAAGAAGAGAAGCGACATACTTCCATGCCCCAACAAGAACATTCACTGCCATTGATTTATCATTAGCAAGTGCAAACCTGTTTTCAGCATTTACATGGTTGATCTAATCCACTCTAGCGACCACTTCCCAATATTTTTAAAATATCAAGGCAGAGAAAGCTGTGAAACAGCCTGTCCACAACACTGGAAATTGGAAACAGCCGATTTGGCCTGCTTTTTCCTCTATGGCCAACATCACTGAGGAAATGGTGAATATTGCTGATATCAATGATGCAGTTGAAGTTGTCACTTCCATTTTTGAATTATTCAGGCAGCTGAAAAAACAATGGGAAAAACATCAACAAGATATTCAAAACATCTGAAACTATGGTGGAACCAGAATTGTGAGGCAGCATACAAACAACAAAAGAAAGTATGGGGGATTTTCAGAAGATACCCCACTGCTAGTAATATGATCACTTTTCAAAAAGCAAAGGCAAATGCCAGAAGAATAAGAAGGCAAAGCCAAAGGGATTCTTGAAGTATGTTTCTAGCATAACCTCTTTCACCAGTTCAAAAACAGTTTGGGATAAAATCAATGGGAAANCAAACAAATTTATAGTCATATATTATCAGAATTTTAAATTAATTCAATCATTTATTTTGTTCTGCTTATACAGAGTTAATAACAAAAAATAAATCATCGGTGTCAAATCTTCGTTTGGGTTTTGGTATAGAACATTAATGTTACGGAAGCTTAACCAAGCAGAGTCGTCAAACTGTGGTCTACGGGCCATTCGAAGTCATAAGAGAGGTGATCGTGTGTTAATAATAAGATATCATTTGCACTACACTTTGCAGGCATCACATGATAGAGCAAACAAATTATTTTTCTCACGGAAGAATCCACTGGTCACGGTTTGCGTGCATCTCCGTGACGACAACAAGCTTAAGCAATGGCGTCTCGAATGGGGTATGATCAGTAAGTAGTCCTATGATTTTTTGTTTACAGTATAGCAGTTTATATGCAGTTGTTTGGAAAAATGTTATTAAATATATCTCCTTTTTAAAATAGATATTGAGAAAATGCATAACATAAGAAAAATAATTCATATTCCCTTAATCTGTATAATCAAAATGACTAAGCTTGTCTACACATAATGTTGCATTAACACAAGTTATTTTATTGAGTTCACATAAAAGTAGAGAGTAAAAATATTTAACAAAACTCTTACACACACATCTAATTCTCATAGAACAATGTCCTTAATCACCACAAAATTTTGACCTTTATTTTTAGTTAACTCTAAAATGCAATGCATTTCACATTAAATATACTAATCACTTCATTACTTAAATAGTGCATTTGTTCTAAACAGGATGTTCCAGTTGATTTGTAACGTAAGAATCGGAGAAACTACATCTTTACGTTTATTTAACAACAACTTTCAATACGATTGGTCTGGAGATACGGTTGTCTTCTAAGAACCAATTAGTCTGTCCAAACATGAAGGAATGTCTTTGTTTTCATCATTCAACTGGTGGGTGAGAAAGTTACATGGTAAGTTCTTTTTTAATTTTATTACATTTACACACAGCATTATTTGGAAAAAATGCTCAATTTAATTATTGATGCAGAGGAAGTACAGTCATTCCCAGTGTCTCAAATTTTCATGCACGGAAGAAACGATAAAACTAAGTGATAATTTGAAATATTGATGTTAAGAGATAGCTGATTTTTCACATAATATGGGGCCACTAACAAGAGAAAGAAACTTTGTGTACTCTGTGGCACAGATTTTCCAAATATACTATTTGAAGAAAAAGCATTTCAACTGGAAAAAAAATCTAATTCAACCAGTAATTGACTAAGCATTTATGTGGAAAAGTGATCAGCAAGTATGCCTCTTAATTCCCTCTATTGTTACCTGTTTTTTGGATGCAAAACACATGCCAGTAATCACCGTTGCCGAACGGAAGAATGTAAAAGTGTATGAGCTACAGCATACTGTATCGAATGCAAAATCCATCTGTGCCTTGTGCTTTGAAGCAATTTTTTATTTGCTCATCATGCCTATTTGACTTGTACATAAACAGAAAAGTTTAGATCTCTCTAATTGTAAAAAAATGCATTGTGTCATATATGACACAATGCATTTTTTAATCAGTTCTAAAGGTCCAAAACATAACAAAAAATAGTATTTTTTCAGTAGAGGATCAAGAGATTGGGTGATTATCTGAATGCAGGACCAACTTGTATAACCTGGCTTGGTAGAAATCATGTCCCTGTCCATTGAGCCGGTTCTCGGCAGCTGTTTTCACATCACTGTCTAAAGAGAACCTTGTTCCAGGTAATTCCAGATAAGTGTCCTTCATTTTCAGAAAAAGAAATAGTCACTGTGTGCCAAATCTGGGTTGTATGGGGGTGACTGTTGAGTTTTGCAAGCAATGTCAAGTAGGCCATTGTCATGTGGGAGGATGACACAATCATTCAACATGCCAGGGCATTTGCGTCAGACGGCTTCATGTAACCTTGTCAAAATGGCGCAGTAACTTAGGTCGCGTTTCTTTATGCAGCGCTCGAGAAGTGCTTTACAGCAAACACACTGAAACTGGTTTCTAATTGGCCAACACTGTTTGTGACGTCATTTTGCTACACTCTCGCTGCATAAAATGTGGGGACTCCAGATACTCGATCAGGATAATATCACACGAATCCCAGAATGTGGTTGCCATAACTTTACACCCTCTGCCAGTAATCTTAAACTTCTTTCTCATTGGTGATCCAATGCATTTCCACTCCATAGTGGCTCTTTTGGTTGTGAGGACAAAATGAAGAAGCCTTATTTTGTCCCCAGTAGCGATGTGATCCATGAAGTACTGGCTGTCAGAATGGTAACGTTGAAGAAATGCAAGACTGCACATCATTCGTGTGGCTTTCTGCTCCTCGGATAACACATGTGGTATCCAGTGGGCACAAGCCTTGGAATATCACAACACATCAGAAACGATACACAGTACCATTGCTCAGTCCCAGCTCTGACAAGTTTGCATGCACAGTTACCCGTCGAACATGTTGATTTCTATTGTTGAAGAACTTGGATGGCTGCTCGCTGTCCAATTGAAAAGAGCGACACCACTTTGCTGCATGTTGTCTGCTCATTGTTGCTTCACCATAAACTTCCACGATTTGACTGAATTTCAGATGCAGACACATTATTTGTCCATAAGAAATGAATCACAGCTTGCACCTCCAAGCAAGACCACTTTTCTAAATGTCTTGCCATTTCAATCACTTTGATGTGTCTGTGAACCTGCACAACTGCTGTAAGACAACTAGCACAATCTGTCTCCACTCTGGGGAAAAAATATTCCCTCCACATTAATTACTATTCAAATGCTGCTTGTGTTTGGATCTACCTATGTATTTCTCAGGGATGTAAAGTTAAGAGTATTTTTTTTGTTCCTTTTTTTCTTATTGTCTGTACTATCTGAATGTAATAGCCATTTTGACACTTTTTTTGAATTTCAAATACTGAAGTGTTTTTCTTCCTCAGTTTATTGCTTTCCTATCCGAAAATTTTTTCATTTCATCAGCAGTAAAGTTCAAAAGTTTTCCCAGGCAAATCAGTGGTATTTGATTTGTGCATGAAGCAATGACATCAAAGAGAATCTCAGGAATATAATTCAAGAAATATTCCTCAGGATTACTGTCGTTAATTGGGAATCAGTAGAGAGAGACAACAGATGATATACATAGTAATTGTTAAAGTATCTTTGTTTAATCGAGGAATTAATGCACAAATAAGTCTCTACATAACTGTGGGACAAACGTCTGTACGTATCAACAGATCAAGATGGCAATAGGTCCCCCTGGCAGTCCAAATTGATTAGCGTCAACAATACCGACACCCCCCTCAATTCGACATTAAGGGGGACTTTCTATGGGTCTGATACCCATGTTGGTGACACACAACCGATGCTTGTTCAAAAACAATGGTTTTGTTATGGCATTGGCTGGCATCTGGTCAGTAGATATTTTGATGTCTACGTCTTTGCGTTCGAGAGCCTCCTGGATGAAATGATATCATATCCCGACATGTTTTGTGCAAGAGTGAAAGATTGGGTTTCTGGTAAGTTTCTTTGTAATCTATACTGCCTTTTTCTGTGTAGCCTTTGGCAACTAATCATGCTTTGCATCGCTCCAGTGTTCTGTCGGGATTGAATTTGTTTCGTAGGACAAGTCTGCAGCCAATCAGTATGTCAATGATATCCCAAGAATTGTTTGAGTAATGAGCTGCTTTCCATTTGTCAGCTTCAGGGCTATGTATTGCTTGGTTTAGCAGAACTTCAGCAAAGTGATGAGTGATGCTGACTTGCTCATTGTTTATTTCGTCATTGCCATCTTGAATCATGTGATATTGTTTCGTGGGTCTACCGTGATTTCTAGTTTTTAATTTGAGTGGCCATCCTGGTCCTCTTCTCATAGATGATTGTTCTTCCCATATTTCAGGAACTTCAGGAACAATGTTTGCATGTGGATGTGGGACCTGAGTTTGCTGGGTAGTTACCTCTATTGAGTGAGTTGTTTTTTTAGAGTTGAATCGTTGATGAAGTTATCAAAAAGATCAGTATTTGAAATTTTTTCTATGAACTTGACATCTAAAGAGGTGGTCATGCTCTTATGACCATTGTCTGGAATGTATATGAATTTTCTCAAACTACAAAAATTAGAAATGTTTTTAGCTATTCATATTATAAAATGTTTTCCTGCAATGCCTGTCTCACACGTGTCAAGCAGATCTTTCTTGTCGAATCTGAGGCCAGTGACCCCTTCTTGATCCAACAATTTTCTTAATGTGGTAGCGTGGAGATGACCAAATCTTTTGTGCCAGATTCATAATCCATCAATTGGAGATTTTTCTTCAAAAATGCGAATTCAGTCACTTCTAGCAATTGGCCACTGTGGCTGTTGTTAATGACTCATACTTTGATGAGAGATTTGTGCGAAGCGATGGCACATGGAGAGTGTTTAATAGGTCAAACAATCGTTTGCATGTGCCAGTATCAATGTGAAGTTGGGCCGTACCAACTGCATTGATGGGTAAGTTTGATCACTAGCAAGGTCCAATTTTGTGTTAGAGGTAGTTTGTAAGTCAAAATTTTTCTTAGTTGGAACACGTTTGATGTGGAGACACCAAGCATCACATGGCATTCCAGTATGAAAAATAGACTCACATGTGAAAAACATTCCCCTGTCCTGTTTGCTGGATCTCGGTTTATTTTCTTCCCTCTTCTTTTTATGACAGTCTTGTTCTCTGTTGCAAAAATTACATCACAGTTTCAATCCTTGATAACAGACAGTAAGCACATCATTGTTTTGCGATTTGCGGGAAGATCGTCCTTCATATTCCTCAAAGATCCTGACTTTTAGGATGTCTAGCTTTGGAAGATAGTCTCTCATTTTGATTGCAGTGCAAAGTGTTGAAACTGTTAGGCAAGCTGTATAACAACACAGAGAGAAGTTCCTCATTCACTATAATTTCTAAATCAGTGAGCTTGTCTGCAGTGTCCAGGAATTTGGCGATGTGGTTGTGCAGATCTCTTATGTACCTTCATGAGAATTAAGGTCTTTATTAAGGAGGCCTTTTTTGCTGGTTCCTGAGACTGAAAGAAATTTGGGAAAAACTTAAATCCATTTACTAATGTGTGGCAATTTTGTATATGTTTTAGCTTGGGCAGACTTAGCATTAATATCAGGCTTGATCTTACCTTATGGTCATTTTTTGTCCAGGCGCTGTGTTCTAATCAAGATTCGAGATTACTGGCGATAATGGTGGGACAAGGTATCGCTCCGTTAGCGTATTCCCACATTCCATCCCTTTAGAGTACGGCTTTGGCTTGAAAACCCCACGTATCATAATTTTCTCAATTTAATAGCTTGACTTTAAATGAATTCATCATTTGCGGATGTGCAAATTGATAGACGAAATAATAAAGGAAAAAGATACGAAACAAGATGTGGTTGTTCGGTTTGGTTTCGCTGTGGTGATAGCATCTCATCCCATAACCTGTCATTAATTGGGAATCAGCAGACACACAACAGATGATACATACAGTAATTGTTAAAGTATCTTCATTTAATCAAGGAATTAATGCACAAATAAGTCTCTACATAACTGTGGGACGAACATCTGTACGTATCAACAGATCAAGATGGCAAACAGTCATCGAAGCTTTTTGGCGCGTTCAGGATATGTCCCTCTAGCAGTCCAAATTGGTTAGTGTCGAGAGTACAGACTCCTGCAGTTCAGAAAGTACCCTTCCAGGGTTCTTTCTGAAATGCAGGAGCTGGTAGCAAAGTTATTTGTTTGGCACCATGGAGGAGTATATTACTGCACTGACGTGAAGAAATCTCTCTCTATTTCCATAGCTGAAGAATCATTTTTATCGTCGTCAAATTTGTCGTTTAATGACTTACATTCTCCAGGACAATGGTTGAAGAACAAATTTTTGGTCACTGTCTTCATCACTGGACTGGCCTTGCAGTTCAGACAAATTTCTATCAATATCATGTGATCTATCATGTTCCTTCCTTAGTTCGTCTGTTGACACTGAAAAATTATCCAAAAATTGAGATCATGGGACCTACTGGTAGAAACAGCCTCCCCTCAACAAGCAACAAAGCTTTTGGCAATGAAGACTCTTGGAGATATGGGAGTTTCAGTCACACCACACCACACAGAAGTTTAAACTCATCACGTGGTGTGATATCTGAAGATGATTCAGATATTCAGATCAAGGTGTTGCTGCTGTCCAACGCATCTCCATTCATCGCATCACCAACTAAACATCTAATTCTCGTGTTTGAGAAGCTGACATTGCCATCCTTAATTACAGGATACCTGTGCTGCCCAGTTTGTCCATATATTCCAAATCTGCTGCATTGCTTTAAATGCCAGCAGTTTGGACATTCCCAGACCTCCTGCTGAGGCAAAAGCTTATGTGCATAGTGTGGAACTGAAGGTCACGACAGTACCAAATGTAAAAGTACCCCATGCTGTGTGAACTGCAAAGATGCCCATCCTGCCTACTCCCGGAAATGCCCTACATGGCAAAGAGAAAGAGATTCAACGGGTAAAAACTGTGATCATCATCCCATATCCAGAGGCTCGTCGCATGGTCACTCCAAGTGCACCATGGAACCAAAGACATTTGCTGCTGTGTTGAAATCTACAAAGACATGTGGGGTTCAAACAGATATTTCTGTATCACCAAGTGAATCTCTTACTCGCCATGCAAGATGTTTACTGATCCCAC